ACCGCTCCTCGGAAACACAATATAGGGTCACTATGAATCAGAACCAATTTGACAGCACTTAACAACAACAGTAGTAAACTATTCACGATGAATCAATCTCATCATTTCAAGCAGAAATGATAATACTGCTGTTCTCCTACTGCCTTTGACAGTGTACACTTGCACAGTTGTAAGGACACACTGGAGCTCTGGTAGCGTAGTGGTTACGAATTGGGCTGTGAACCTTAAGGTCAGTGGTTTGAAACTACCAGCCGCTCTGCGGGAGAAAGATGAGGCTTTCTACTCCCGTAAGGATTTACACCCTCGGAAACCCTGTACAGGGTCGTTATGGGTCGGAACCGACTCGACGGCACTTAACAACAACAACAAGGACACACTATACCTTTTCCTCTTCCTTCCCTGTAATTTATGGCGTTTAATGTGTTTCCTTTTAACAGCATCTCCCCGATGTTGTTATTGTTGTTGTTAAGTGCCATCGAGTCGGGTCCGACCCATAGCGACCCTGTACAGGCTTTCTGAGGGTGTGAATCTTTACGGGAGTAGAGAGCTTCATCTTTCTCCCGCGGAGTGGCTGGTAGTTTCGAACCGCTGACCTTAAGGTTCGCAGCCCGATTCGTAACCACTACGCTACCAGAGCATCTCCCCGATAGCAGATTTTAATACCTTAACCTGTAATCCATGAGTGATCTTAGTTTAAAGATCTTGTTAAGGCAACATCTGTGGGTGACTGCTAACAGTTTTCGCTTAGTTCTAAGGTTTTTGTTCTTTATAAAATATATAGTGACTTTGAGGTGTCTCATTATATTCAAGATCCTGTAGAGAGTTTAAACATTAGAGAAGTGTAGCTTTATTAGAATATGGTAGAGTCAATACTTCAGTGAGGTAAGTATTCTTTACCTTTTGCATAGTTAAAAATAACAGTAATCTATACCTTCACATTTGAGGTTAGAAAAAAGAGATTCTTGATCAAAATCTGTATGTATATCAGTGAAACAGTTATACAAACAGACTGTCTCAATTACCAAATTTATTTTTAATATCTATTCTTTATAAACTATCTTTGTAATTCTTTTCTGCCTCCTTATTCTCCCTTCTTTTTGGTAGGCATTCAGGAAATGTCTATTAAATCCAATACTGGTTTACAATGAAAATATTTTTCTGTTATAAATCTTTACACTGAGATACAGATTAACATTTTCAGTTGTCTACATAGTAAAACAGAAATATTCTACTATGTTCTAGTATGTATTATTCTATTAAGTAGCAGCTGATAATCTTGAGGGCTATGCTAACAAAGGAACATACCCACATCTAACAGAAGAGAATTATTAATTATACTGTCACTAAAAAGGACTTTAAGATTATGGTGGCAACAGTGTGCCGTAGAGCCAGTTCTGACTCATAGCAAGCCTGTACAGGGTTTCCGAGGCTGTAAATCTTTCCGGGAGGAGAAAGCCTCATTTTTCTCCTGTGGAACAGCTGGTAGTTTTGAACTGTTGACCTTGAGGTTAGCAACCTGACTCATAACTACTACGCTACCAGAGCTCATTTTTACGATTCTAGTTAGTTTAAATCCTTTATTTTAGGAAACTAAAGTTACAAAGAATTTAAGTGACTTGTTTGAGGTCACACAGCTAAGTAGTAAACAAGCTAGAAGCAGAATTAAGGTTTCCTGCTTCCTAGTTAATAGTCGGGCCCACTATATGCTACTAGCATACATTTTAACATTTTGCAAAAGCAAAAGGACACATTACTGGTATGCTTTGCTTAATGTCCACAATACATTCTGTGAAAGAGGACATTATGTGATTTGGAAGTTGTGCAATAACCTGTCTTGGGCATATCGCACTCTCGAGCTCTCTGGCCAGGGGACAGCTCTCTCTGATAAGCCAACTTCAGGGAAGGCCAGCTTGCCTGTGAGAACCTGCCCAGCAAGGAATGGTGTCGGGCAAGGAGGCCAAAGGTGCCTAAGCCAAGACTGAGGCACAAGGGGTGAACACCCATCTACTGGTATCCTGTGGGATCAAATCAGGCAAAATGTGGGGACCAGATTCGCCGAGCCTCCGGTTGGGACTTTAGGACTAGGTTCTCATCATTGTAGACTAGGTGCCTTCTATACTGCACTGGGCAGAAAGTGGGGCTTTGACCTCAAGATGAGGGTCTGGCATCCTGGCACTCTGACACCTGGGTTCCCTGGCCCCTAGATGTAGAGGTGACTGGATGTTGCTCAAACATATGTTAAGCTACATACACATGTCACCATGTAGAATTTCAATCCTAATATTATTTTTTAGATGAGTAAGAAATGGGGTGTTTAGATCAAAAGCTCTGCAGAAACAATTTCATTTTTCTTCCCACAAATAGCATGTGCCATTCCCTGCTTAAATGCCTACCTCAGGGACAGGCATTTTCCAGGTGAACAGAAAAGTCCTATGAAATCGCAACTAAACCAAATACACACATAAATAAAATGTACACATAACAATATACTGCAAAAACAAGTAAAACATCAATTTAAGTATTTCCCTTAAAATATGAACAGCTCTTACTGTTTTATAAATACTTGCTGGTGGCAGCATTCCAACCATCAAAGGACAGAGTCTTGAGTTTGATTTTACCCTTCTGTTCCATACAGCATGGTTCAAGCACAAAGACACTAAGATCTATGACTGTATCGAGACATAAAGAGATTCACTTTGCAATGTCCTGTTTCTTTAATGTTTTGTGCTGTTAACAAGTATGACTCACTTTCTCCCGCCCACTTCCTTATAAACTTTCCCTGCTTGAGACACTTTCTTGAATAAAATTTAAAATGAATTCACTACCTAGTAGAAAATAAACCATTGGTTCTTTTTATTTTGGATTGTTTTTGGGCAATGATAATTGTACGATTGGAGGGCCTCTAAGTACATCAAGCAATCACGTTTCATTGTAATATTTTACTATGAGTGTTTTGATTTAGGAGTTGGATTTGTCATTTACAAATTTCCCTACACTGGGTGAATTTTCAATTCTCAACCCTTTTACATAGATTGCTACTTAGAATGGATATAAGAAGATTGAGTACTAGAAACTTTTTGCTTTATCTTCAGGGCTGTAAACACTTCCTATTCTAAGGAAATTTATGAAGATGGTCATAGTGTACCATTGATCCAAGAAACCACATATATTTTATAAAAATTATGCTTATTAATATTTTCAGAGGACTACAGGAGTCCTGGTGTGGCGGTGTGGGTTAATGCACTAGACTGCAAGGTCAGTGATTCAAACTCACCAGCCGCTCCTCAGAAATCCTACACAGGGTCACTATGAGTCGGAACCAACTTGATGGCACTTAACAACAACATAGGAAAAGCACTGGACCACAAGGTTAGTTTGAACTGCAAGGTCATCAGTTTGTCAGTTCAAACTCGTTAGCCAGTCTTCTGCAACCCTATATATGGTTGCTATGAGTCAAAACTTACTCAACAGCACATAATAACACAATACTGATATGGAGTCCTGGTATGGCACTGTAGGATAAGCACTGGATTGATAACTACACAGTGGGCAATTCAAACCTACCAGCCACTCTTGGAAACCCTATTCAGGATTGCTATGAATCAGAACTGACTCAACAGCACACAACATCAACAATTCTGATATGAATATAGAACAAAAATGTAATGGCTTTATTAGAATTGTAGAGACGTTTCTGTTGTAATACAGGTAAATTATGAATATATTTCACTAGCACATCAGCTCTTTGTTAATTGAGAATTTATGTAGACATACCATTCAGGTGGTTCATTGAAAGGTGGTAGGAATGGAAATGGAACCATAGGGAAGAAGCAGGACCAACTGTTGTTGCGTGGAAGGGATTGAAATCATTGAGATGAAACAAAATGTATGACTTGTTGAATATAAAACTAATGATCTTGTCTGTACACCTGCACTCAATCCGCAATAAAAAGCTTCTAAAAAGAAAGAAAGAGTATAAACTTCTTCAGAAGTTCTTTAGAAAGAATACGAACTTCCAATTCTTTAAGCCATGGTCCCACCATTCCTTAGAATATCATCCATGGCTGTCATGTTCAATAGGCATTTACGTTTGTGACTTCTGGAATCAGTCACACAACTCTGGCCTAGGAGTGAGGGCACAAATGTTCTGGGCTGTTATGGCTTCCAAACAGCAAGGCAGTCTCTTCAAGACTATTTATCTATAAATGAACTGCTAAACTATGATGATCTTTAAAGGGCCTTTTAGCTCCAAGGTTAGGTCGTTCCTTATAAAATGGAATATTAGAAAAGTTTATTAAATTAGATCCCTGGAGTTAGAAATTTAATCCAGTGACTTATCTGTAAATACTTCCATATTCATGTCCTGAAAAATAAATCTCAAGTTAGCTCTTCCATATCTACTATTTCGTTACTGAATGAGAAACTCCTAAAAAGCAGAGACTATACACTTTCTTCCATAAATATTAGAGATTAACTCTGACATTAAGAGCACCAAATAACATTTTCTTTCTATGTATGAACAACATGTTCATGTAGTTTTCTGACATGAAATTCTCCATGTTCTTCTGACTCTTGAAATCACAGTAGAAAGATCAACAAAATGTACACAAGAAGAAAAAGTGAAATCTCTCTTAAGAGATTAGAGAAAGCATCTATTAGTAGATGAAAACTGCTCATGTCACATGGGTGATGTGAGCCATCAATTTCATATGTGCTGTGAAATAAAGGTAATCCCTTGGTGACACAAATGTTAAGCGCTTGGCTACGAACCAAAAGGTTGGTGGTTCAAATCTACCCAGAGGTGCCACCTTGGAAAAAAGGCTTGGCAATCTAATTCTGAAAGACTACCATAGCCATTGAAAACCCTGTGGAGTACAGTTCGACTTGAAATGCATAGGTATTGCCATGAGCCAGAATTGGCTTAACAACAACTTTTTAAAGAGTTTACAAACAAACAGTAGTACTCCCTACTACGTCTGAGGCACAGCCGCATGCTTTACCTTCATCTCATGGTGCTGATCCAGCTGTTCCAGTTTCTGAGGGCATTCTCCGTTTTCCCTCTCTTGGACTTTGGCTTCTGCGTCTGCCTTTTCTTCTTCCAGTGTGAGCGTGGGGTTTATACTAGGAGTCCTGCAATTTCTGTCAGAAGCATTTCCATCACAGTTATTTGTTGAGGGTGCTGTAGGGCCTGTAGCAGTTTCTTCACTCTCTCCATTCACCAAGTTAGTATCAAGGAATGGTTCAGAAGTTTGAATAGAACTATCTGGGCTAAGAGGAGCCACTTTATCCTCCTCACATTCCATCTGGTTCTGTGCTGCCATTACACCATTGGTCACACAAGTCTGTTCACCCTGAGTTGGATCTGTGCCAAAATCTGTGTCATCTCCCTGTTTCCGTAGTGGATGCTGTGAGAGGTGTTTTTGCTGAGGTGTGGTCATCAATCCATACCTTCCGGGGGTTCTCGGAGCAATCCTCAAATCACTGTAATTTGATAATGAGCTAGAAATTAAAACAGAAAGGAAGCATGAAAACATTGACATGAGAAAATTCTAGAAGAAAGATAAACTTATTACAGCTGAAAAAAGGCTGAAATTAGCAGTACTAAGTCGATTTCTCTTGTGTTGTGGATGTCTATCCCCGGGAAAATTAGTTTGATCTAACAACGTTCTTGGGAAAAACCAATGCTCAGTTTTGTGGAAAACTATTATTTCCTCTCTGAGGTTTTCCCTAGCCTCTCTTATTTTCAGCAAGCAAGCAAATAAGCAGAACTCTGAAAAAGTCAAAGCAAAAAATAAAACTGATGCATTTCAAATGCACCCACCATATCATTCATCTAAATAAAGCAATGTTACTTGGATTATTGTACATATCAAAGCTATGTTATAAGGGATGAGTTCTTAAGTGCAGTATAGTAGGATCCTCTAACAATTCCTGATGTGGCACTGTAGTATCATCACTGGACTTTGAATACAAGGTTGGCAGTTCAAACCCACCAGCAGTGTCTCAGAAACCCTATACATGGTTGCTGTAAGTCAAAATCGACTCAAAGGCAAGGATTCTTTAAAACCATTATGACTCGATCCCACTCTGAAAGACCTAGGTTCATCCTGCTGACTCTCCCTCTCTCTCAACGTGCTAATAGTTTAGCTGTAAAAACGGATTTGAAAACTGAGAGCAATGCTGTAAGCACATGGATATTACTCAACAGGAAATACAAACTTCCCACTAAAGTTCTATAGACCCAAGGCAACATTGCCACATGCTGACACTTTTTAGGTCCAGTTCCTAAAACCTAACTATTTTTTGTATTGACATTTGACCCTGCCAGTGTATTTATTCCTTCAGTAGGTATCACAAAAGGTTTATATTACACTCTCTCCTCACTGAGAACAAACTTGCCTAAGCTATCGTGTATATATTATAGTAGAGGCAGATTACTCTGACTGTTTTCCATTCTCTCTCCTCAGATCAACCTTCAGGCCTACCACTGTAAAAGGACTGAATCTCTGATACTTCAGAGAGTAAACATTAGTAAGTGACATTAATAAGTGGGATCAGACTGATCACAAGGAAGGGATAATGCAGAACAGAATTTAAAATATTATGGCATCTAGGTTTTCTGGAGTTATGAAGGTGGGATGAACCTCTGAAACTACAGCCCTGAGAGATCATCTTAAAACTAAACAGTAGCTTGGCTTATCTGGTCAATATAAACATGTCTGACTTGAGTACTGTGCTCTTTTAAGATCTATCTATATGGAATCAAACTGACAACAACAACTCAAAAGATCAGATAGGACCCTTAAGGGGTAATGAGTTATGTTAATGGGGAAGGAACATCTCTCACAACACAACACTAAGTGCTTGAATTGTAAATGCAGAAATGGCTTGAGTTGTAAATGCAGATATATGTTTTTCTGTGTACAGCCTCAACAATAAAAGGAATATAAAAAGGTAAATTAGATCAGCTTATTGTATACATTTTCTATATATAGAGAAGGAGGAACCCGAAGAAGTACAGAATGAGTTATGAAAATGGTGGGCATTAGAGCACACACCCTTTTAAATCTGGGGTTCAGACTCTGGCATATGCCTATTGATAGGGTGCAAGGGTCCAGACCCTTTTATTAATCATTTTGGTAAAGATTGCTGTATTTTAAGTTAGCCAAGGTCTCATAAATTCTACTTCATCAGGGGCAATCTTTAAGTTTAAATATGTATGACCAAAACTCCCACAAATGATTGGAAATGAAGAAAAGCTTCTGTATTACTTTTCCCTAGAACTGGTAGCATAGTGGTTATGAATTAGGCTGCTAACCAAGATCAGTAGCTCAAAACTGCTGGAGAAAGATGAGGCTTTCTGTTCCCATAATTTCAGGTTTGGTGTGAGACAGAACCAACTCCATGGCACACCACCACCACCACCACCAGAACTTGTTACTAAATTGTTGTTGTTAAGTGCCATCAAGTCAGTTCCTAATCATAGTGACCCTGTACAGGGTTTCCAAGGAGTGCCTGGTGATTTTGAACTGCTGATCCTGTGGTTCAATCTGATCTTGCAGTCCAGTGCATTAACCCATAGCATCACACCAGGACTCCTGTTACTAAATATCAACCTATTAAACCAGGGATACTGTAGCTTCATGGCTGGTCACAATTTTCAAAAGGTCAGGTTAAAAAAAAAATTCTGAAAGTGTTCCCATGAACTACTATGATCCATTTCACAAATAATAAATTCTATAAATACTCCAATGGGAATCCATTCTAAATTATTACACTGAAATGAATGGAAATATTTGGTTCCAAGGATGAACATGCTATATAATTCTGTTTAACTGTACAAAGACTTTTAGTACCTAATAAAATTAAATCCTCTAGATAAAATTCTATTTAAATCAGTAATGGAAAGTTTTTCTGTCAAAGAAAGTGTAACAACAACAACAACAACAAAACATTTGAAGGTCAGATAAATAGAGAAACAGCTTATGCTGTTCTATCTAAAATGAGAAATAGGCATATTCCATCTACTTAAAAAAAATCAGGAATAAAGAATACAAAACTGTGACTAATTGACTAATAAATATTTTACTATTGGTACTAAAGCTACTAGAAGGTAGGGGGATGGAGAGAGGGGAACAAGAGACAGAATGGGTATAGAAGACCCACAGAGATTAAATCGGTCATAAAGAAGAGAGAGCCACAGCACTGGGACAATCCAACAAGAGTCACATACACAAACAGGCAGAGTGAGAAACAGAAATAGAAAACCTCCCCACTCCAATCCGGAGAGGTACACAATCACATAGAGCAACATACACAGAATGACATACACAGAGAGGAAAAGAGAGCAAAACACAAAGAAAGCACATATGCAGAAAAGAATACAATATGATTTAAAAAACCCTGCTGGCATAGAGTTCTGCACATAAGTAAAATATATTAAGAGATCATTCATATTAGGGCAAGATTAAGTAATTTTAAAAAAATTAACTCTTTTTTAGAGGCCTACCAACCCTAACAGTATAAGAGATTCTGTTTTTTATTTTAAAGATCTATGACTCTATCATCTGCTCCCAGTGTAAATGAACTCTTACCTGCCTCCTTCAAAGCGACTGATGAGATCTGATACCTTACTGGGTTTTTCTTTTGAGACACAAGAAGCAGAGGCAGGTTTAACTTCCTCCATCCTTGGTTTTGCACTAGGTAAAGCTTTATGCCTGGGGGTTTGGTGTATATTGGACGAAGGTGAATTCTGCAGATGTAATGGCTTTGGAGGCACTGTAGAAAAAGAATAGAATCAGTATTTCACTGATGTTTTGGTTCTTTAACAGTAAAATTCGGGTTGTAAAAATCTTTCCCATTATCAAACTTCTGTAGTGGGGGTCTCTCAAATTTGCACTGAACCTTGACTAAGGGATATCATGATCTTGGACATGTGTTCTTTGTCCTGTGAAAATTTCGTCTCCAAGATATAAGTGGTTCTTTTCCTGGTAAATATGGCATTATTAAACACTTTGGGATCTATAAACAACTGTTGCATTCTCAATTCTATTTAATAATAGCAGTTATTCCTCTCAACAGGGAGACTTTACTAAATTTGAAACTAAATTTTAGTGATAGATTTGCTATCCAGAAAAATAGACATTTTAATAACACAGTGATAATGAATATACCAGACTCTAAAGCAACTAAGTTAAACATAAAGCCAACAAAACAACAAACAAACAAAGTAAAATGTTGCATTCAGCAAAACTGTTTTCATTTAACAAAAAGCATCTTATCCAATTTGCTCCTAGATGAAATTTCATACTTTACAGTCCTCTAAGGGAGTTCTAGTGTGGCGCTGTGGGTTAATGCACGAGATTGCAAAGTTGGTTTGAACTGTAAGGTTGGTTGTTCAAGCTCACAAGTCGCTCCTTGGAAACCCTCTAGAGGGTCGCTATGGGTCGGAACCAACTTGAAGGCACTTAACAACAACAACAACAAAGCAAAAAGTCTACTCTGATTTCATGACTCCCACTGAAAGATGAGGAGTAAGGAGCTCTGGTAGAGTAGTGGTTACGAATCGGGCTGTGAACCTTAAGGTGAGCGGTTCAAAACTACCAGCCGCTCCGTGGGAGAAAGATGAGGCTTTCTACTCCCGTAAAGATTTACACCCTTGGAAACCCTGTACAGGGTCGCTATGGGTCAGAACCGACTCGATGGCACTTAACAACAACAACAACGCTACCAGAGCTCGTCCAGTGCTTATCCTACAGTGCCACACCAGGGCCCAAAGGCAGAATTTTGTTGTTGTTAAGTATCAATGAGTTGGTTCTGAATCTTAGCGACCCTGCTTAGGGTTTCCAAGGCTTTAAATCTTTGCGGGAGCAGAAACCTCATCCTTCTTCCACAGAGCGCCTGGTGAATTCAAACCAGGGACCTTGTGGTTCACAGTCCAATGTTTATCACATGGAGCCATCGTGCTCCCAAAGTAAGAATGCAAATGCTTTATTACTGTCATTTACTATACTATGTAGTTGGTTTGTATCAATAAATCAATTGTTTATTAATATTATACAAACAGATCATTGTGCTGTAGTTTTGTACATTACTAGATATTAAAAGCTACAGAAAAAGAGAAAATATTACAAATGTTTACTTAATATAGGAATTATTTCAGTTTTGAAAACTAGTATCACTTTTCTCTAAGAGATACATTTTAGGTAAAAGATAATAACTTATATACTCTTCCACAATCAATTTTAACAGATCAAATAGAGCATTCCTCTTTTATTTTTAATCCTTCATCTACTTTCTTGGAATAAGGTTGGGAAATCATGTCTCTTCCTACTTATATGTCCCTTTACCCTAGCTGGTTATCCTGGCTTTCAGTTATCTCTTATATACCCAGCTAGCTCTTTTCCACATGGATCTGGTGAAAGAGGATGGGAAATGATGGTGATAGGATTTTATGATTCCATTGTGAGTAACTGTTAGGATTCATTGTGACTGTCACAAGTGTAATTGTAGAAGATGTTTAACTAAAAGAGGGGAGTAGTTAATCTTTCATTTCAGGAACAGAGGATCCCAGGACCATCAAGAAGAAAGAGCATGAGTGGAGTGTGAGATCCTACCCTAGAAAAATGGCGGCAGCAGAGATGGTGGCAAAGGTAACAGCATGGAGTGATAGAGAGGCTGTGGATTCTAGGCCTATGGACTGAGAAAGGCTGTGTACCTGTGGGCAGTAGGCTGCCTTGCAAAATGTGTCCTTTAGACACTAAAATGAATGTATATTTTTGTTTTGTATGTGTACATCAAATATTTTTGCTTTGCTGATTTGTCAAAAATAAGATGTAAAAGGCCAGACACTGGGAGGAAGCAGGATAACTATTGTTGCAAGGAGGGCATTGTAATCATTTAGAAGAAACAAAATGCATGACTGGTTGAAATATATATACAATAAACCAGGTATACAAAATAGAATGCAATAAAAATATAATAGAAAGAAAGGGAAAACTAATAAAAACTCAGCTAGCTGACAGTTGCCTGATACTCACTGGTCTAGATTTCATCATTTCTATGTCCATTATCAATTTATCCCAGAGAAGAAAAAAATCTCACAATGAATGTAAAAGTGCAGAATTAGTTTAATTTACTTTCTACACAAACAGAAAAATAATACCAATGAAAAAATAATACGTCCCTTTTAATGAAAATGCTATTAAGACCCAAGATATACAGGGGGGACAGTTAAATCATTAACATCCACTGGGAAGAAAGGGGTTTATGCAAGTCTGAGATTTGTTCATTTTAAGGAAAATTTTCCTGTTTAGTATAATAATATGTAAGGTAGTAAACAAGGATAATCCATTTCCTTTTGCTTTTTATAAACATTTAGATTAGTTTCAACATTCCTAACTTGAAAAGAAAGAAGCATGTTCTTGTAATTTTTTTTTATAAAATAAGTCATCCATCTAACTAGAATTTACTCATTGAACATTATTCCTGATCTCTATGTGTCAGACATTGTGCTAGATAGTCAAAAAATTAAAATCAATGATGTCTCAACCTGTCATTTCTCAGGGTACTCCCCTGACTTTCTCAAACTATGTTTTGCTTCTCTTAAACTGTTTCCCAACTCTGTATATAATTTCGTCAAAGTGGTATGTTAATGTATTGCATAAAATTATTAAATAATAAATGTATTATAAGATTTTTTTTCACCACAAAATTGGAGTTCCATGAGGATATGAAACTTGTGACTTGATCACAAGTATATTTAGTTACTACTTGAAGTATTCAGTAATTATGGGCTGTTGAGTCACATTTATTGAAAAGTTGTTCAAACAAAACAAAGGAACACTGAATGGTTGAAAATTAGAAAAGGTGTGTGCTAGGGTTGTATTATTTCACCATATTTATTCAATCTGTATGCTGAGTAAATAATCCAAGAAGTTGGATTACATAAAGAAAAATACGGCATCAAGATTGGAGGAAAACTCATTAACAACCTGTGACATGCAGATGCTGCAACCTTGCTTGCTGAAAGCGAAGTCTAAAAATATTGATGAAGATCAGAGACCAGAGACTTCGGTATGCGTAGCACCTCAATGTAAAGGAAACAAAATCCTCACCATTGGACCAATAAACAACATGCATATAAATGGTGAAAAGACAGACATTGTCAAAGACTTCATTTTGCTCAGATGAACCATCAACATTCATGGAAGTGACAGTCAAAAAATCAAAAAATGTATTGCCTTAGGCAGACCTGCTGCACAAAACACCAACCACATACTGTAGTAAATGACAATAATGAAGTGTTTGTCTTCTGACTTTGGGAGCACAAAATGTTCAAGAGCAAAGATGCCAGTTTGAGGACTAAGGTGCACTTGACCCAAGCAATGATACTATTAACAACCTGATATGTGTGTGAAAGTTGAACGATGAATATGGAAGACCACAGAAGAACTGATGCATGTGAGTTATGGTGTTGAAGGAAAGTTTTGAGGACAACACTATGAGTTAATGTGCTAGACTGCAAGGTCAGTGGTTCAAGCTCACTAGCTGCTTTTCAGAAACCCTATACAGGGTTGCTATGAGTCAGAACCAACTTGATGGCACATAACAATAACAACAACAACAGAATGTCAAAAGAATATATCAATCTGTGTTGGAAGAATTATAGCCAGAATGCTCCTCAGAAGTCAGTATGACCAGCAGTAATGGGCTCAAATGTAGCAACAATTGTGAAATTGGCACAGGACCAGGCAGTGTTTCATTTTGTTGTGAATAGGGTCACTACAAGTCAGTACTGACTCATGGCACCTAACAACAACAGCATCAAGGAGCTTATATCCCAGTGTGGAGACAGCTTAGTGATGGCGATAAAGAGGGGCATTGGGTACACAAGTATTTTAGAAGCATAGATGTTTTATTGTTGTTGTTGTTGTTGTTAAGTGCCGTTGAGTCGATTCCGACCCATAGCGACCCTGTACAGGGTTTCCGAGGCACCGTCAAGTCAGTTCCAACTCATAGTGACCCTGTATAGGGTTTCCAATGAGCAGATGGTGAGCTTGAACTGCTAACCTTGCGGTTCAAACCAACTTCGCAGTCTCACACAATAACCCACAGTGCCACACCAGGACTCCAGCATAGAGGTAGCTATGGGAAATTATTTCATACATAGGAGATAATCCAGATGTATAGCAAATCAGTAAATGTTATATACATTTTTTTAAAAAGCGTGCAAATGATAAATAATCTCAAGATGGTTTGGTGGTGGTGGTGTGCCATGGAGTCAGTTCCGACTCACCGAGACCCTGTAAAAGGTTTCCGAAGCTGTAAATCTTTACGAGAGCAGAAAGCCTCCTCTTTCTCCAATAACAGCTGGTAGTTTCAAACTGCTGACTTTGAGGTTAGCAGCCCAATTCATAATCACTATGCTGCCAGAGTTCCTTCAAGATGCTGTAAGAATAGCTAAAGTAGCGTAGTGGTTACGGATCGGGCTGCGAACCTTAAGGTCAGCGGTTCGAAACTATCAGCCGCTCCGCGGGAGAAAGATGAGGCTTTCTACTCCCGTAAAGATTTACACCCTCGGAAACCCTGTACAGGGTCGCTATGGGTCGGACCCGACTCGATGGCACTTAACAACAACAACAACAGAGGATATTTTTGCCCCTTTGTTTCTTAACTGCTTATTGGCATTCAAAAGCAGTGCATACTTTAGTCAAAAGATGCAACGGCTAGTAAAAAAAATTATTCTTCCAGCTCTCAAAGATAAGCAGCACCAATAA